AGATACTTATCGCCGCTGCACTGTCGATCAAAGTTACCGCTCTTTTATTTTCTATTGGGTTTTTTATCAGTAAATCTTACGCTTATGTTAATTCTGCATTACAAAATGTATTACACTCCTGAAATGAACTCATGAAACATTTTATGATTTATTTGATTCATTTTGAGTATCTTAACCGATTCACGTGAAAATTTTATTACACGTATAAAGGTTTTGACCTTTTATATGATAAAAAAACAATTTCTCAAAAAAACAAAAAAATAAAAAACAAAAAAACAAAAAAAAAAAAGAAAAAAAGAAAATCAAAACAAAACAAAACAAAAAATACCAAAATGACAAAGATAATAATAATTGTCGTGGGAAATTATTAAAATGCTCGTGTCATTTTGCCTCGAAATAAAAACAGACATAGTTATTTCAAAGGTTTATCAAGGAACTTTATCGCTTTTATTTCCTTTACTTTTGTTCTTTTTAAAGATTGTTAAAAATTGATTTTAAGGAAAATTATTTACACAAAGAAAATAAAATAATATTAATGACATACATTTCAATGACGTCCATAATCATGGTTAATACAAGACGCATACTGCGCGTGGTGATGTGTTACTTCAACAGAGTTAAGGCTACATGTTACATATACTAATTGTACCTTACAACGTGAATACAACTGTTGTTTGCATTCGAGTTATCTCCCTCGACATATATGAATTATTATATCATTATTGTGTATTATGGTTATATACATACGAAAATGTATGCATTCATTTTTTTACTCTAGATAGAACATTAGTACAATGGACACCAAACAACTTTTAATTAGACTTACGGAGGTGGAGTCAGTGATTTCATTCACAACTACGACAGCACATGAGGGCTTCCACCACAGAAACTTAACTAATTCAGGTTTTCAACTTGGATGAGCAAGTCTTGTGGTCATTTTCGGTGTCCATCGGTTATCAAGCCTATCACTATAGAGTGAAACTAAGGGAAGACCCTCTAGGGGACCGACATGCCTATGGTCTAACTACCGATCCACTAACCTTTCTCATCGCAAACGGTAGATATCAGAAGACATTTTATTTGGTTTATGAAGCAACAAATTAAATTATTTGGGGCGACTTTCAATGTAATTCCTTTTATCAAACGTGTGTGCCATCCTTCGTTTGACTTGGCAGCATATGCTTGCATTTAGGTATATCCTAAACATCCCCACTTTGAAAGGTGTAGTTAGAGTGTTTTGGTTTAAAATCAAACCAAGATGAATGAACATCCCTGATTCCAGTGATAGCGCCCCGTCCATGAACCACCTCTCAATAATTAAAATTGTAAGATGCACCGTCATTACTGCTAACTTTGAGTGACCTGTATAACGCACTGAAGGTAATAAGGGCCATATACAATCCATACCAACCCCGTACGAAACCTAGTCGCAGCACACTTCATGCGCATTAGAACGTGTCGTCTCAAGTGCATTTTTATGAACGCTTATCTGAATGGCTTAACCTGTGAGACATGGTTTTATAAAAAACTAGACAAATTGCACTTTTTATTTTAAAAAGTTTTTGCCTCAAAAATGCAGAGTAGCTCTTCTCATGTAACAAGCCATTTCTGGCACTAGAGGTCGCTCGTGTAAAATAATTATTCAATTTTACGGCAATTTGTTTAGTATAGAAGTTTTGCTACATGTATACGACAAAGTATTTGAATATGCGATCAACAAATACCTTACATACTTTAAATACACGCGTAGAATGCGTTTGTAGACATTTCTGTTGAGAAACAAGAACAAACCACGAGAGGGAATACAGTCAAATATTAAATTTGCTCTAGATTCTTTGTATCATTTATACGTTTATACTTTTAAAGTACGAAATGAAACATTTTTCTTAATTTCAAATTCATCGTCAACGTTTTTCTTTTGTGAATAAAGTACCAGATAAAATCGACATATGAAACAATCATCCAACTACGTTTGATGTCAATTGGAAACCAAGAAAGCTTCAACGTCGATTTTTGGTTTAATGTTCAATGTCACAAAGGCGCTTGTATCACAAAAGTCTCAGGGATGTCAATGATCCGTCGAAGGTTTCTAAATAGTCTCACAATGACCAACTTATTTACATAAACATCCCATGCACGTGCTATGTTTGGACAACGGTACCTAACTAAATTATCACTTTGGCGCAATAACTATCGAGCTATGACACCATGAAACACCCACATGCGATGTTTACTTCTGTCAAAACAACACGAAAAATCACCTTGCTGTGATATTTACAAACAAACACAGGTCAAACTAATTGAACCATGAGCGTGCATTATATGGCCAAATTTCTTCTTTAGAGTAAATATTGGTCAATTGATCTGACCAGGGCCTGGTTAAGACTATCGCGACGTTTAATTTACAGTATTCATCATTCGATTGATTTGATATCTTACCAGAGAGCTCAATTTCGATAATGTTAATGATTTGTTTCAGTTCCTTATCACGTGATCATACAGACGAACAGACAGACTTGTCCTTTCCGTTTCTATAGTGTTATGTTCTAGGGTCTCGTGTCACAGCTCATCAGTTTCTGTTTTGTCTATATCTTTTTTTTTTTTACTTTTTTTATTGTGTAGAAAGGAGTGTTACTATGAAATGAAACAAACTTAGGGATATCGACATTAGCAGTTTTGACAAAAACCTAAATCAATGTCGTAAATCTGAGGTTTCTTTATAACTACCAGTGACACTGATCCTATGGGACCATGTTCTGGAATATGTTGTCCTTGAAATTTTATCATTTACGATTTCGCCAAGATGTAGATACCATTCGATACAAAATGACTTGTTCGCACAGATCTACAATTTTCAAAAATGCCAGTTGTTTCAGAGACAATATGTTCCTCTCTCTTATTCGAAATGACCTACTTTTTCTTTCTGATTATCATTGAGTTTTTTTTAAATTTTAAAACACGACAACTATAACTACAGGAAGTAAAGCTTAACTGTAGTGGTGTAACAACTACAAAACAATCCTGTTGATACAGAAACAACCAATATTACAATGTACTTCCTCGGTTCCTATTTTGAGAACGTACCCACTTAACTTGGATTGACATTATATCTATAAACTTGGTGTCATCGATAAAGCAGAAGGTGTTTATCGTTCCGGAACACCTTGTCTGATTTTCTTTGAGATAAGTCAAGGACCTCCATGTAAATCTTTCTTTTTCTTTTTTCATATTGCCCATTGTTTTAAACATTTCGGGTCTAATTTTGGGGATAATTTTGTATTTTTTGAGTTTGTCATTATAACTATTTACTAATAAATGAAATCATTAAGACATGTTTCCGCGACGAGCACTTTTTATTATACACAGTAAGTTATACGACACGTGTACCCTACAAAATTGTCTTTATCGTTCGCTAATGGTCCGATACCTGTCACCGTTGTTAGATGACACGTGTTCAGTAAGTCATCAAAACTTTCAAATATAGATAGCAACCTCAGCGTAAATTATTACACCTGCAGAAGATCCGTTATCTACCCTAAAACCTACAGCCGTCGTGTTTTACTGTAGCGTTAGATCAAGTAACTGTGGAAAGCCGGAAAGATGTGTCACATATATTTGTGTCTTTCATGGAGTCATGACAAGAATACATTCATATGGTTGTTTTATAGATTTCAATACAACATATTATAGCATAGAAAAACCGGGCGAATATTTACCGTAATTATTGGGATGAAATACAACTTTCATTTATATTCTATAATCATGACACCGACGGTAATGTTATTTCTATGTGATGTACTGTCCCGATAATCTCAACACGAAAGGTGAAGTGATGCCATACATTTGACGACCACCAAGAAGAATCTGATTTTTTCTGAGAATAAGGGACTTGTATGTTTTCAATACTGGCTTAACGTTACTACTCTAATACTTACTAGACTCCTAAACTTTGTTTTACATACCATACTATCGGAACCAATGGTGCATGACGTATATATACTACTGTGCCATGAAGATGTAGGGAAGTCTTCAAACGCATTTCAGGAATTCTCTTTGTGATTTCTTCTCATTTTACTTTTTTTTTATTTATTCATTTATCTATTTTTCATTGTTAAATTATTTTCTGTCTTTTTTATGTTTCAATGCACACGTGTTCAGTCGTAACTAGATATTAACATATTCCATCATCATTTTTAAAGCTCCATTCTCCAAGTAAGGCTGTCTTCCTACAGAAATGTGATGTAATTGCAAACGTTCGCTCTTCATACAACGATTAATTAATCCGTTTTTCACGTGAATCAAAACATTAACTAGAATTATCTTAATACACGATGATGCTAAATTCGCAAATCGTGTAAATCTTCCTGACGAATTATCTCTAATTCACAAGCATTTCTATCCGAAACGATAAAGTCAACATGCATTCAATCATTATAAAATGCATTCATGTGAAAAGAACCGAAACGACAGGTATGAATTAATTTATAACCTGTGAAATCTGACTCAAATTCTAAGTCGGTAAATTGTGAAATAATCTCAATCTGACAGGTGCAGAGACACATCTATATCGTTGATTTCTGAGATATGTCATTCATGCATGGAAAACTGGTGTGTATGTTAAGTTAGCTGCCGAAAGCTACACAAAAGACATACATATACACACACATAACTCGTAATATCCTTCATTCAGACAACGACGAAAAATTTTGGTATTTTAAGTGATTTTGCTTCAGGCTAATGTTAGTATCTTCAAATAGATCGATATGTTTCATTTTTGCTTTCGGGAAACTTTTCGAAATATACTTTTAAAAAAGCATTGTATATCTCACTTTAACTACTCAAAAAATCAGAAAATCAATGTAACGCCTTTCATTTACATGTACAAACTATGAATAGAGCCTTGAAAATCACGTACATAGAAATTGACCAATCATTGTTCTACATTCTTAGTAAATGTATAACGTTTGAATGTTCTGTTATTGATTAACGTAAGAACTCACCTGCACAAGGATTTCGGTAGACAGAATCCGAGACAACTCGACCCATGCCCCAAAGCACGACCTGTAGAAGGGTCCAAATCCATCCTCTACCCATCGTTTCACTCAGTCATTGCATCTGTCGTCGATGTTCTTCCTCACTTCATCATCGCGCGATCACGCTTGAATTGCATTTTATAAGTATCATATATTATGTGTAGTTTTTTTCTTAAATTTTCTACCTTACAATCGCGTCAAACTTTTCTCACATCACCGTGATATCCTCTAAAACTCACTTCATATAGAGCGTACACATGGATGATATAAAGTCAGTAGAAATGTCAGATTTGTCATCTTCTGTTTCATCACTTCTGTCGTTGTCCTGTTATATTCGGCAATCATCTGTCGTTGATCAGTCAGTCATGAGAGACTTAGATTTAAACAATTGAATTCCTTCTGTAAAAACTTTCAACGTCATTGTCGAATCATTATAATGAATCACTGTTGAAGACCAATATCCTCTGACATCAGTTCGATGAGTCCTCTAAATCACCAAAACGATGACACGTATCTTGTCTATCGATGACATCCACTTTACTTCATCCAGACGGCGATACCATTTACTTATATAAATCGGACCATCAGCTTTCACCTACATATCACGGTATATCTAGAGTAAATACTAGTGACGCGTCTGTGTGACCGCACACTACCAAGATCTTTAAACGGGAGAGTATCTAACCTAGGATAGCTAACTCCCAATATCTGAGTACTTGTAAGTCGCTATACTCGATACGGCCACTCAATATATCGGCTCGTTCAATATCCTCGTGACTGTACTCAGTACCCAACGTTATTACAGCAGGTACCCGCTACGTTCTGTACTCGGTATAAGGCCAGCCTATTACCAATACTCAAAATCACTCGTTTCTGAATGTAATAATTATGTTATACGTTATGATACTCGAAATTCCTCACAACTCAATATCTTAAATACTTAATGAAGGATTCTTAAGTAGTTCATTTCTTTAAGCATGCAAACATGTATACTCAGTATAATACTTTGTTAAACTCAATGTCAAATTATCTACAATGTTCCTCTTAATATCGAGCTTCATATAAAGTATTGATTTCCCGAACCACGTTTAGCTTTTCTTATATATACACAAATGTCCTTTATACACTGTTTCTTATAGCTAATAAATGATCTCATACTGAACTTGAACAATCTGTTCCGGATATGATGCGGGTCAAAATTCCGGAATTATGGTGAGTTGACTCGATGTTTACTATATCATCTAATCCGAGTAATAGATTATATAATTATGTCAACTGATTTGGAATGAAGCAGAATAAGAAAATATCCAACTTGCTTCGAGTCCATTAATAACACCAAGTGTTTATGACATCAAACGTTCGCCTCCAAGACTAGGTAATCTTAATGTCATAAATTTGTCAATATTTTAGTTGACGTCAAAAATGCTTTTCGATGTGGAAGAAATGTCGAACCTTTTTTGTTCGAATTTCATCAAGGAAGTCGGCATAAGAAAATGATGGTCAGGTTTTGTCATCCGCCACAATGAAGTATTTGTTACAGAATTGATTCTCATTTAAACGTCCTAATGATCAACAGAGGGCCAGTAGGTCCGATATCCCAGGACGAAGCGATGAATACTGTCATGTCGACGCTTCTCGCGTTTGTACCTCATGTCTAACGGTTGATTACACACATTTTATGTAAAGCACGAGAGATCTGCGTCTATGATAGGGCACCAATGAACTCTTAAAGGTTACATATGAGTGAACAGAGCCTTAAGTCGATTTAAAAGGGGGCGGGGCGTCCGAATGAATCTCGCGAACTATGAGATCACGTTTCGTTAGCGGTTTTCTCCGCGAGATTTTAAGTGTTTCAAATGAACTTTAGCTTGTAATCAACATTTCTGTTTTGTTGTGGTTAAAAGAGAAACCCTAATCGGCTAATTGATCAGGGTGAAATTGGCAACTGTTAACTTCTCAACCCATCGCCAACCAGTGACTGATTTGTAAGGAATATTCTTTGATTCCAGCGAGAGGATATTAGAAGATAAAGCCTCCATTGATTACGGCCTCCCATGACGGGACTAACAGCAAGGCCCACATTAGTCCATTAATTGGTCACTAATCACACTGAAGCATGATTCGTACCAATGGTTTAGATGTGTTTAAAGACAACACACTTTTCACATTTTTTTTCTTTCTTTAAGTTCTGACCTGCCCAAAGGAATTTACGGAGTGCAAATAGATAGAGTTAGGACTCGGCGATCACACTTACACACTCCACAAGTATCTGATTTCAATACTTCATCTACCCTGTCCGTCAGATTGAGTATTTAAGCCACGGTAATTGGTAAGCGCGGATGTAGAAATTTCAGTCATTCATCTAAAATAGGGAGGCATATTTTTTATGAGTTTTACTGTGAACCTTACTAATTCTCAGACAAACGAAAACAAAACAGCTCAAATGGTTACTGATAAGAGCGAAACTATCAGTATGTGGAAATAGAATCGAAACGAACGCTATTCTAATAATTCTCTTGACAAACCACTATATCTGTATGTACCGATCTTAGTTTAGAATGTGTGAGATTCATCATAAATTATCTTACTATCGATACTGTTTCTAAATAACCTCAAAAAACACGAACTTATGTTTTCTCGAGTTTTAAACAAGCTGTAAATCCCGATGTGTAAGTTGTTTCTATGAGATGTTAGATAACATCTGAGTATTTATATCTTATGGATAATATATATAATTTTAAATATGATATTTGAAAGTACATATATTAGATTATAAAAATGATACACAATTTAAGTGAATAGAACCTTCCAATACAATTGAGAATAAAATACAAAGGAGCCAAAATAATGAATTAAGCGACACCAGGCAGCCATTTTCTTCTTTTAAGTCTTCTAGTGATGTTATGTTGTATATTTTAATTCTTTTTTTACTAAATATCTACTATTATAAAACATAAAGCCACACACATATATGTAATATTGTTTGTACGTTACAGACCGGGACAATGTTATGACTTTGTGTGTAGGATTAGTTGTCGTTTGACTGGTAAGGTTGTGGTCATTGCAGTTTGAAGATAGCCAAACCTGCCCTTTAAAAACACACAATACTGTGTCAAGTCATTTTACTATAGAAATCAGACATTTAACTTCATGTGTACATGTACTTCTTGTAATATTGACCGTTTAGAAGGTCATCTGTAGAACTGACCTGTACCCGATAACACCTATTAACAAAAGTCGCCGAGGGACACTTAACGAATCCAGAAGAGAATTCCATATATGTTCTGACAGTATATCAGCTAGGAAGAGAGGCTTTCATCACAATTTCTACACTGCACATCATGTGCTTTTTGCGAGTATCTAAATATGAAACCATTTTTGAGATAACAAAATCGAAATACGGAACACAAATCTTTATTGTAGTTTTAAATATTAATGTTTTTTATGCAATAGCCATAAGGACTATACTTTCTTTGCCACAGAAACGTTAGGGACTAAGATCAATTCATTGAAAGTTTATACTGTATAGTTGTTCTCAAGGTTTGTTAAAGTATAGTTATTAAATTGTTACCATTAAAATAAAAGTCTAATTCCGGTCAGAACAGTATGTGAAGGGATGAAGTCGTCAACGTCAAAAGTTGTCTACCCTGTCACAAAGTTGAAAGTAGCCGATTCAATTCTCTTCTTAAAACACAACGACATTATAACAAATGACAACACTGATTAAGGTAGTTTGAAGAAGATGTTCGTTAGTATGTCTAGGGTCTGATGTTCGTTAGTATGTCTAGGGACTGATGTTCGTTAGTATGTCTAGGGACTGATGTTCGTTAGTATGTCTAGGGACTGATGTTCGTTAGTACGTCCAGGGACTGATGTTCGTTAGTATGTCTAGGGTCTGATGTTCGTTAGTATGTCTAGGGACTGATGTTCGTTAGTATATCTAGGGACTGATGTTCGTTAGTATATCTAGGGACTGATGTTCGTTAGTATATCTAGGGACTGATGTTCGTTAGTATGTCTAGGGACTGATGTTCGTTAGTATATCTAGGGACTGATGTTCGTTAGTATGTCTAGGGTCTGATGTTCGTTAGTATATCTAGGGTCTGATGTTCGTTAGTATGTCTAGGGTCTGATGTTCGTTAGTATATCTAGGGTCTGATGTTCGTTAGTATATCTAGGGACTGATGTTCGTTAGTATGTCTAGGGTCTGATGTTCGTTAGTATGTCTAGGGTCTGATGTTCGTAAGTATGTCTAGGGTCTAATGTTAGTATGTCTAGAGACTGGTGTTCGTTAGTAAATCTAGGGTCTGATGTTCCTTAGTGTGTCTAGGTACTGATGTTCGTTAGTATGTCTAGGGTCAGATGTTCGTTAGTATGTCTGGTGTTTGATGTTCATTAGTATGTGTAGGGACTGATGTTCGTTAATATGTCTAAGAACTGATGTTCGTTAGTATGTCTAAGGACTGATGTTCGTTAGTATGTCTAGGGACTGATGTTCGTTAGTATGTCTAAAGACTGATGTTCGTTAGTATGTCTAGGGTCTGATGTTCTTTAGTATGTGTAGGGTCTGCTGTTCGTTAGTATGTCTGGGGTCTGATTTTCGTTAGTATGTCTAGAGACTGATGTTCGTTAGTATGTCTAGAGCGTGATGTTCGTTAGTATGTCAAGGGACTGATGTTCGTTAATATATCTAGGGTCTGATGTTCGTTAGTATGTCTAGGGACTGATGTTCGTAAGTATGTCTAGAGCGTGATGTTCGTTAGTATGTCAAGGGTCTGATTTCGTTAATATATCTAGGGTCTGATGTTCGTTAGTATGTCTAGGGACTGATGTTCGTTAGTATGTCTAGGGTCTGATGTTCGTTAGTATGTCTAGGGTCTGATGTTCGTTAGTATGTTTAGGGTCTGATTTTCGTTAGTATGTCTAGGGACTGATGTTCGTTAGTATGTCTGGAGTCTGATGTTCGTTAGTATGTCAAGGGACTGATGTTCGTTAGTATGTCTAGGGTCTGATGTTCGTTAGTATGTCTAGGGACTGATGTTCGTTAGTATGTTTAGGGTC